TGTACTCATGCGCTGCGATTGTAGAATGGCAGCAAGGCTACCGGTACCCTATATATAGACCAGCTATTACCATCGTCAACAAACTCACCAACATGACTTGGTCTGTGACTCTATTGGGACAGGAAAAATCCATACTCACAAGACTTTATTAAACGTGTCGCGTTTGTGACATCGCCCCATGTTGTGTGTTAACGACGGAATTGTTGTGATAGCGACGAGATTATTGTGATAACGACTAGTTTTGTGCGAAGACGACTGGTTTTGTGTGAAAGCGACCAGTTTTATTGTGACGACGACGATGTACATGTGCTAGCGCCATATCTATTGTGTGTGAATCTAATTTCGTTGTGACGGAGATATTACCTCTGTAGTACTACGTAGTAATTGTCAAGTAGTACTACTGTACTACTGCTTTGCACTTGTTTTGGCGTCGGTTTTACGTGGCTAAAAGAGTGGTACTTCTGCTGTAACTAGGTTTAACTCTGAGCAATAATAATCACATGTGATGCTGAAGTGATCAAAACACCTTGGCTGTTATTCCATCGCGTAGTACGTGCTATCTGCATGTACTGCGCGATGGAACAAGAGAGATGGCGTGGTTTTCTACGATGTGGCACCAAGCGTACGGTAGAACTCCGGCGCTTGTTCTCACTGTGTGTCATTTGTAATATCAAAAGTTGTTCATGATGACCAGTGAATTGTGCAATTTGGTCCCGAGAATAGCACATATAACTTCGATTTGCACTTTTCAAATGTGCAAAAGCGAGGAAATTGCATAAACGACCTCCCTATATACGTATAATTACATCATGTAACGAAACGTGACATCCTAAATCACGGTACGGATTATCTAAAACACTAGGGTCGATGTAACAAACACCCTGGTTTATGGTGTGAATAGTCAAAACGAGTGAAAGCACAATACGTAGTACTTTAATAACTGGTACTATGGTGGACGTCATCTAAAAACTTCCAACTGGCCAAATCATGAGCAAATTTGAATCTGAGACGTAGAATGTCCTTACCACATTGAGATCTGTCGATTCTACGTCTCAATTTGCTGAAAAATTGAGTAATGAATATGAAATAGAAGCCAGAAATTTTTTGTGAAAAGTTGGTAGTTTATAGATGACGTGCACCGTAGTACAATATTTACTTAAGGTGACATTACACTACAGTGTACTAGTACTACTACAGTAGTAGTATTTATGTAAGGTGGCACTGAATTTAACCACTTCGTTACTTTTAACACGGTTACCTCCGAGTACTGTACAGTAACGGCTCCCTACTTTAAGGCGTCCTGATCTTAAACAAATGATAATCCAAACTCAATTAATCGACGTTCATTAACCAGAAAAAGCAAGGTAAAATAGGCAAATTTGTATGAAGCGCAAGGTGAACCACCTTGCGAATTCCATAAATAATTCTGAAATTGTATAGTTTCAATTAAATATATCTTGAAGTTTGTATTGATGATTTTTATTTTTCATGTGTCTGTGTCTTTTTGGAATTCGCAAGGCAGGTTACCTTTCGAATTCAAAATTGTCCAATCAGATGGGGTGAAATCACTAAAATCGCTGCGTAGATTAATCACGCCCTGTTGCGATATATTGCTGTGATCGCGGTTGATGCAAGGAGGGGCCTTGAGATAATTGTAGGCTGTGTATGAGACAAGATCATGTGATGTGGTATTCAGGACTCGGTCAATTCTAACAGGTCTCATTTCACCACTTGCCTTCTAACCCAATGAAATTGGTCATCCCACATTCCACCATCCAGCCCGTGTCGGTGCCTTACACCTCCCTGCCGGTGTGATCACGTGGTTGCGCGGGCGGTGGCGCAAGACGTCTTGGTGGCACCCATCGCAAGTGCTGAAGTGGCGGCTTTAGCACTTTTCGTTTGCGATGGGTGCTACCAAGACCTCTTGCACCACCGCGTTGGCCCAACGGAGCCACCACGACATTGCGACCCACCCGAGCGCACAACATAATGTTAGCTGTAAGGGGAGAACCACATTGGACATAGTCGGAATACACTCATCAGTGCACAATTCTCTGGAGCTGGGAGATTCAGGAAATGAACGAAAACTCGCGATTATCTCGCATGTCGACAAAGTCTGTCCTTCATGCAACATGCTAACGTTACTTCAAAATGTTCACTTCATACGTGAGAACACGAGGATGTTGGGATGCAAGTACAGCGGTGGTGTATACCGGTTTGCCAAATCTCCAACACGTTGTATTTCGGTATTCTGTACCTGAGTCTCGATGTTTGTTGTATTATATCAACGTTCAAAACCATATAAAACAATTCAATTGTTTTATATGGTTTTGAACGTTACGTGTGGAAATGCATGCATGATCTTTTAAAATATTGACATGGATACAGGGGGCGAAGGATTTTAAGGGACACCGAAGTTTTTTGGAAGCACAGAATATTATAGCCAATAAGATTTGTTTCGGGGTTTCGGGGTTTCGGGGTTTGTGAAAGTCATTACGTGATTGGCTAAATATTAAGATTGGCGGGAATAATTTTAAATTTACGCGCCTTTGGTAGTCAATGGCACACGTCGGGTCATGAGACGCAGCAAGATCAGCCCACAGAAGCGGCCCAGACGCCGGTACTCACAGGCGACCTAGCGGGACATGATCCTAAAGTTGCGCACGTCCTCAACTCGTACCCTGGCGGCGGACACTGGCATACCCAAGAGCAACCTCTCTCGGTGGAGGCAGCAAACGACGATGATCCATAGCTTCGACGGCAACAAGAAGCGATTCAATCTTGACGTCGCTGGAAGACCAGAAGAACTCCCAGGCTCTGCTTCCCTCGAAGCATACAAGACGAAGCTCAGAGGTGAGGAGCGTGCAGTAACATGCACCCATCTGATCAATTTTCTCAAGCGCAACCATCGAGACTGGCTTGACCAGTACCTCGCTGCAAGCGCTAGCAGCTACAAGTCGCTCTTTAAGCTTCTCCAGCGGTTCTGCGCCCGACACGGCTTCACCCGCCAGAAGCCAGCAGAAGTCAACGAAGTTGACCCAGGGCGACCTCTCTGAGATACGACGCCAGTTCTCAAACGACTACCACAAGGCGTTCGATGGTTGAACAGCGTCATCAATGTCGATGAGACAGGAATGCATTACGACATGCCGCCCCACGCCATCTGGGCTGTCCGCGGAGGTTCATCCAAGATTTCAAGTGGCGACAAGCACTCCTACCGCATGACGGCGGTCCTCTCTGTGCGCACCATTGGAGAGAAGCTGCCGCTCTTGTTTGTACTGCGTGGAATTCCCGGTGTGGTAAAACGCGTTGTGTGTCTTGAGTGAGCCCCGGGTTCGAGTCCCGGGCGCGTCGAACTTTTTTTTGCGTTCAGCTTAAACGTATACCAGCCTAGTAAAGCTACGTCGAATTGCTTCAGGGGTAATACGTGCCCACGCCTTAATGGCACGATGAATCATAACAAGACGCTTTTGTTGCGCCGTAACTATCGTCCCCTTCAATCAGCTCTTCCTCCAGCCACAGATTGCGCAAGTGGCGCTTAAAAGGCGCCATGATCCCGACATCAAGTGGTTGAACAACACTTGTGGCATTCGGAGGGATAGCAGCAACGACGCAGCCACATTCTTCGCTAGCGATCTTGAGGCCTTCCTTGCTGACGTGAGGGTCGAAGTTGTCGCGCAACAGAACCGAAGGCTCGCAGACTTAGGGCTTCAGCAGCTGCCTCAGGTAAAGAGCCCACACGCGTGCATCCATCCACGCCTTCTCTTGAACTGCATTAAAGTGCCCAATAGGGAAGTCATCGAACTCGCCTTGTTCGATAAGCCCTGCGCTATCGCGTCAAACGCTTATCTTTATACCTGTTCGATTCGTCTGGTCAATTTAAAACATTTCAGTGTTTGAAATTGTGACAAGTGAAGCGACTGCAATCTGGTTGGTCACAATTTCTATCGAAGTTCGAAGTTATTCAACCAATCATTTCCGATGAATTGGCAAATTCGAAGTAGCAAGTGTCCCTTAAAATCCGTCGCCCCCTGTACATGCTGCGCTCGCACATGTGCGCATGTGCGGAAAGTCCAAGCGCAGGTGGTCGAATTCTCGGGAGCGACGCATGGAGGTGAGCTGAAACTGTGAGATCATGTACTCCACATGTATAGGAACATATTGCATGCAAGCATCCTTACTTATGTGGAGTACAGAGGACAAAAACGACGACGGTGGAGGACGAATTTGTAGTTTTTCGCGCACATGCGTGCACATTGCACATGCGCATGAGATGCCGATATCTATAGTTAGCTGCCACGGTGCTGGTTGTGATGCGCACATGCGCCGTGTAATAGTCTACAAGTTGGTATGCGTCCCATCCCTCGTCGTCATTCCTAGCCTATGTATGCACCCACCAAAGTTCTGCATTTTGCTCATGCGCGCATGCATCGAGTGTCGAATTTTTCTCGCACATGTGCACATGCTGGGATGGAATGTTTTCTTTCTGATATAGAACGGGTAGCGAACGGATAGTAAAATTCTATAGATATAAAGGCAAGTGTATGAGTCAGGAATTAAATTTCACATCCTATCCGACAGGTGGTGAGGCAAATACCCGGTTTAACCCTCCAAGTAACGCAGAATCATGAGTTTGTCAAACGAGTGATTTGGGAAAGCGACGAAAGGAGTCAGCAATTCTGTGATCATCACGGCAATGTCCGTTTACATGTTAACGGTAGTGGATCGCAATGTCAATTTACGGCCTGTTCCTGCATCTCCCAGCATCACACAAAGCTCTACAAAATTCAAAGTTCAAAATTCTAACCTCTTATGTCAGTGTTATAGCCAATCGTGTGTAAGAAACAAGGTGTGATGGACTCTGATTGGATATTAAAAAGGAGCAAGGTGGCTCACCTTGCGAATTCCGTTAACAAGTCAATTAACTTGTTACAGTTAACTGCATAAGTGGGACATTGTTTGGTCGCGGCATCCACGCGCTTGCTGACGCAACTTGTCGCTTCGCACCGCCACGTTGCGGTGCATTTCTTCAAGCGCCATTTGGAGATCCGTCACATGTTTCTGACAGGCGGCGCCAAGCCAGTCTGCGACGTAAACGTCATGTGGACTAATCCTGCCAGCGGGGTCATGACTGGCAGGCCGGTAAACGCTGTCACAGGCGCAAGTCCTCCCAGCCGGACCGCCGGCTGATGGTTGAGGGCGCCTTGACGAGGGGCAATACATGCGGCCATTCGTCCGCGTTCAGCTTCATTTCGCTGAGCAACACCTTCACGGCGCGCAGCACTAGTCGGTTGACTACTTCTACAGTCCCGTTCGCCCAAGGACTGTAGGCTGTCGTGATATGATGGCGGGCACCCACCAACTTCCGCACCTTCTCGATCACTTCGTTCGTGAAGTGAGAACCGCCATCTGACACCCATGCGTCAACGCAGCCGACGTGGTAAACCACGTCATCAGGCACTGAGCGGTCACGGCGGCGTCAGCGGACTCTGCCGCGAACAGCTGCACAAAGCCACTCATGTCGTCCTTCACGACAAGCACTTTTTTTTGCCAGACTTCGCCATGCGCATCGACAACCAGTCGAAATGGATGAGCTCGTTCGTCCACGTGAAGCGCCGAACCCAATGGACGGGGAATCATTTCTCCGTCAATGCACAGGCAGTGCAAACAGGCCCGCACGAACGCTTCGACGTGGAAAGCGTCTTTCACATAAACTTGTCGGACATCGATTTGGTCGTCGCTGCGATGCGACGGTGACTGCTGGCTCCTTGGTGAGCGACCACACAAATTTGCTGCTGTAGGTCCACAGCACCGTCTGGGATCCAGATTCGTCGGTCTGGGTCCACGTAAAAATGGGAGTCGTCGTCCCAATCCACGCCGATTGGGGGGATCCCTCCCCCTTCCATGATTGAACGTTGGATGCCGCTGATCGTAGCGACTGTCGGCCACTCGAAATCCACTTGTTGCAGGGGTGACACCACATGGATCAACTTGCGAACATTCGCAACCGGTTGATCCGCCGGAGCCGAACCCCATCGGCTCAGGAGGCCGCCGCACACATTTGCGTCCCCCGAGACGCATTCGATCCGGTCACGCGACCGCGATCGTTCTTCGGCGTTCGTTGGCATTTCCTCGTCGGAGGAATGTTCGCGTACCATCTCCACTAAATAGCTCAACAATGAACTAAAGACATTGTTTTGTCTCCCGCTTCTTCTTGGCTTTCGGCCACGGGACCTTCGTCAAGGTAGCAAATATAACACTGACATTAGTGAGATTAAATACGCCACGAGGCGCCTACTGACTACCATTCACTAAAGTACTCAGTACCTCCACTAAGGTATCGGAACCTTTGACACGGCACTCACGCAGAGTGTGTGTGTTAGCAATGGGTCAAACTAACGCGCGACCCAATTGCTCTGCACGCTGCAGAACAGACATGTAAATAGCTGTGAAGAGTCCGGTACTGACAAAATATGATGTATGAGTCCACTGGCGCATTGATTTAGTTACCTCACATTGAACGTGGAAGTTTCGGGTACTATTCCCATGCACGACGTCGCATTTTTCTTCATTTCCATTTTTCCCCTCTACTAACAACGCTGTACCGGTACAACGCAATACGGGTGTAGGGTTTTCACGCGTGCTTTTTGGGGTATGTACTCGTGTCGCGTATTTTGAACAATTTTCAGGGGGTTCACGCGTGCTTGGGGTTTTCACGTTTGCTGGGTTACTTGCGCGTGCTTTTATTGACAGATTAACATGAAAATCGTGTTGCTGGTCTGGACCATAATTATTATGACAAAGCACCGTATCATGCGGCATGACATACTATCACGATCAATACAGGACCAATTCCAGTCATTCTTCGACTGGTCCCACCATTACGAGATGCCCTCAGAGATGGGATCAGTGCCGTACACACATACACGGTCATACCTCATCATTGATGTGCCGAGGACATCACGTCGGGCTTCCACAACAGCCATGACCACCTCTATCTCGACGAATACAGGTCCATTTTCACTCATTCTTCGCCTGGCCCCACCGCTGAGTGACGTACTCAGAGGTGGGACCAGTACCGTTCATGCATTCGTCGCCTTGTTATCTCTCGGACGCGCTATGATAGGCGTCAATTATCCGAACAGTCATGACCACCTCTATCTCGGCCAATACTGGTCCAAATTCACTCATTCTTCGCCTGGCCCCACCGCTGAGTGATGTAATCAGAGGTGGGACCAGTACATGCATTCGTGGCCTCGTCATCTCTCGGACGCGCTGCATGACAGGCGTCAATTATCCGAACAGCCATCACTATAGACATGACCGGCCCATTATGGTAGAATTTGGATGCTTGTTAATACTGTGTACTACCACTACGAACAATAGATAGTATGAGCTTATGCTACATAAACATCAAATTTCTCGTGGCACCTTTGGATCAGAAGGGCGGCTCCTTTTGGCAGCAGGGCCGGGGGGCAACTTCGCGACCTCAGCTTTGCGCTTCTTCTTGCTACTTTTACGACTATGTGCCTTAAACTTAGCTTCGAATGAACTAAAATCGGGTAAGGGAATATGAAGGGCGCCGTAGATTGGCGCCATGAGAAGGAGGTTGAACCTCATCTCCCAGTTTGGAAGCGCTTCCCAAATCTCGTCGATATGCACCTGCAATCATAAGCTACAGTCAATAAACAGAGTAGATAGATACGTTACCATCCGCAGATGTGAATCTTCGTCGTCACGCGCGTCCATCAAGTCCTGCCGCTTTGTACAGTGCCTGCTGTACACCGGCCCTTCGGCGTCGGCATGGTGCTTCGCGAAGTGATAGGTAACCTGGTTGTGCGTGAGTGGAACTTCGTTGTTGCACAAGTTGCACGTGTAAATAGGGGCAACCTTGAACGCTGG